TAGAATATTTGAATTTGATTGCTACAATCTATATATTGCTTTTAAATATTCGAATAATAAGATTCTTAAAACTGATACTTTGTCCATAGTGGAGTAATATACATAATTGAAAATAATATCTCTACTGCATTTTTTATCGCTTTTTAAATCATTCCTTACATAAATATAGGATATTTTGTCCAAGTCCAAATAAAGCAATAAATAATGAAAGCAGTTCATATAGCGATGTAAACAGGGATATAATTCTAGAAAAAGAAAAACGTCAAAAAAAGCTCCATCTAACTCGTCAAATTTATCTATTCATCAATTGCATGAATATATAAAAGAAACAGGAGCACTTAATGAGTAACTATAATTGCATTAAATACAATACACATAAATAAAACTTATGAATTAAACTTTCTATACAAATATAATCACACAAATGTATCTACTACGGGAAACATTTATTGTTTCATCACCCACCTTTGTAATATATATAGCCAATCAGAAGTTATTTTTTCAGGGAAGCAACAAACAATATAATCCTAGTTCGTCGCTGGGTATAATATCCATGTACATGGATATTATACGACATTGAAAAGAAATAATGAAGTAACCCATACAGCACAGAAAATTAAAGCAACTTTGCTACAATGTTACAATATTGCAGATTGCAATGTAACATTGCAAAGGTATTACAGAAATATAAATTAACAATATACCTTGCGAAATATCAGTAATATCAGTAATATGCTTATAATATTGCACAAACGTTGCAAAACTGTAATTCTTTAATTACAGTTTATAATAATAATAATATAAAAATATAAGTTTTTATGTAATATTTATGTAGTACAGTCTTTTAGTTTAACAGCCTTTTTTATGATATAATAATTAATATAATTTATTTTATATTTAAATAAAACATTTATTGATATATTATTTGACGGCTATTTCATTAGCTAAGTTTTATATTTATTTTAAATATGAAATCAACAGATTATATAATATTGAGTTTGGATACAATCAATGCATCATTATCGGATAAGATGATAAGCAATTAAACTGCTGAAAACGATTTATTGAAATATTAATTATGTGATCGATGATGTATATATGCCTGATGTGTGGACGCAAGAATAAACCAGCGTCCGAACTTTATTGATAAATTTCATACCGTCATTTTTTAATCGATTTTAATTGACTTGGAGTGATTGGAATTAAAAAGAATCACTGCGATTAATTTAATCTATGATTAACTTACCAAGCGACTGTATTATTATATTATTGTGGATATAATATTTGTAGTTTGTTTGAGGTACACACATACATGTGCTTTATCCTTATGAAATTTAAATTTATTCTCCAGAATTAATATTATATTTATTGGAATATTTTATGGTTTTATCATAAAAAATTGCTTTTGGAAAGCACATATCACTAGAAATGCGATTTGTAGAAAAATTAAAGTTAGTGAGATATATGTACAGAAATAATTTTCATTTTAGAATCTTTGTAAAAAATTTACCAAATACATTACATTGCAATATTGCTGGAACATTTTGTTGCAATATAATAAAAAACGAACATCTTAATATTGTTGGAATTTTGCAACAATGATTCAGCAACATTTCGCAACCACCATGCAATATTGCAATGTTCCAATGAAATCATTCTGCAATATTTCTGCAATTTTTCTGTGCTGTATGGGTACTGTTTAATTCAAAATTTTGAATATAGAAAATGCAGTTTTTCAATCTAATTGCATCCAATTGAATCTAATTGAATCCAATTAAATCTAATTAAATCTAAAAAAAGTATTTACTATTTAAAATACACATTGGAATAGAAAAAAAATTCAATCCATTTTAATCCATTCTCGTTTGCTTAGTATAATTATATTAATACGAAAAATATTTCCATATATCCTTCTTTTTTTCTAAAATTACTGTTTGAGACAAGAAAAAAAAAATAATTATGAGAAAACAAAAAAAGAATAAATTTTGCATTGTTTCTTTCACGAAAAATCTATATTAAAAAAATGAGAAAGAATTGCTCAGATATAATTTTATATTAATCATAATTGCTTATTTAAAAAATTATCTATTGTGCATACATATTTTTTTTAAGCAACTATGTGTTTTCCTTTCACTAATTGATTTATCTTATTATTCTATTCATAAAAGTATTAAGATACGATTATCAAAAAGTTAATAGTTCACGAGTTATATGACATTTTATGTCAATATGTGTCACAGGAAAGTGTAAAATATCTCATAAACTGTTGATTTTTGAGATATCACTATCTTAATATTTTTATATACAGAATAATTAGAGAAATTATATTGTGTAAAAAAATTATACAATTTCATTTAAAAAAGTGGAGGTAATCTTTATATCTTTTGGTGTCTTCACCTAAAAAAAGAACGTAACCAAAATACGTCCTCTTCGAAACCGTTCCACTTTCATTAAACAAATTTTGTTAAATTATCAAAAATAAGCAAGATATTTCAGATAATCGATTTAAGTGGATCACCTTGTATATACCTGAATATAAAATATTTGCAATTAAGTATAAAATATAATAATTATATGAAATTATATATAAAATTATGTATAATATAAAATATATGTTGATTAGTTCTTTTTTTGCATTTTTTAAATATATATCAAATTGTATTTTGAATTATATTTAATAATAATAAAAGAACTATTTTAATAATAATTTTAATAATAATTGCAAATGCATTGCACTGCAACATTGCTACGATTGCTACGACATTACAGCGCAATTTTGCTGAATATTGCGGATATTTTTATGATGCTATGACATCGCAACAATGTTGCAAATACATTGCGTAATTTATTTGCAATATTACAACATAGTAATAAGATATATCTGCAATCATTTTGCAAGCTTTCTGTGCTATATGGGAATATTAAGTTTTCAATCTATCAAAAACCATGTTCTTCTATAACTGATATCTGGTAATTTGAAATCTTAATATTTGTTCCTGTTCCTAATATTTGTTCTATTGTGCGCAGGCCCTTACAATATTACACAGTATTAAAATATTACTGCAATATTGCTGCAATATTTCGTGCTTAGGAGAAGTTATAATTAATTATAAACTTCTAGCTTGATGTGACAAGACCAAAAATTATGATAAATATGGAAAGTTATCGTGTAATTAATTAACTTAATAATTAATCCGATCTATTTTACAAACGTTACTTTTAATCAACATTATTAAATAATATTAAAATATTATGTATAATAAAATGTTAAAATTATTAGTTTTAAATGAAATATATGTATAATGTAATTAAATAAATATATAATAAATTATTTAATATTAATAGTAAGTAATTTATTATATACTTAATACAATGTATATGTTAAATTCTTGCCATATTTCTATACATATATATATGAGTTTTAACTCATCATCAGCCGACGTACATACATAATATGTATATGCTCATTTGTAGTTATAATAATCTTTCATCTAGGTATATACATAATTATGCAAGTCGTGATAAACGCTGATGCTCGTGTAAGTGTTTTGCAACATAGGATATACACGCATATACCTTGCAGCTGGTCTTTCTTCTATAATTATTATTGCCTGCAGATATAGACAATATTAGAAAACAATGTATTACGTATTTGCGCATTAGTTTTCCGATGCTTGGACTATAAACCAAGAATTATATAGACTCGAAGAAATGTTCGAAATATATATATAATTATAACTACAGTTTTGATAAATAAATTTTCGTTGTGGCAAATTGTACAAAAAGACAGCATAATTTGGAGATGCAGAAATTTTACGCGCGATTAAGAAACTGATGTTACAAAGTTACAATAAATATGTTAGATAACTTGTCTTGAAGAAAAAATGCGCAGATATCTTTAAAATTTCTCAGAAATCATTTTCCTCACATTGGCAAACTTATTAATTTGCATTCTGGAAACTCCGAATACTCGATTGCGTAACGATAGACGTAATCAGCGTGTGACCCACTAATGTCTTTGAGCATTTCAATTAGTCCATCTAATATATTGTTCATTGTCAGGTACATCCAATCTATATTAAGAGTGTGATTCACACACACGCAAATGAATGTAGGTACATAATAGAGTTATAGAAGTCCGTGCTTACATTCTACAAACGAGAGAAAAAATATAAAGATTATTTATTAACAACATAATTTTATTAACAATAAATTTATCAATTTTGTTTATCACGCAAACATGTGCTGTATGTCTAACGTAGCACAATTTTCTATTTTATAAAATAATAGTTTTACAATAAATATTGCAATTGATGTCTTCCATTTAGTGACACAAGTCAACACAAATGTCGTTTTATCATTCTTTGCATTCCGTGAATATCTAACAATGACAAAACGATACTTGTGTCGATTTGTATCATTAAATAGAAGGCATTTATTATAACTAAAACAATATAGTTATTATATAACTTCTAACAGTTTTTAAAAGTTATTACAAATAAAAATAGAAAAAGTACATTGTATCATGTTCAACTCATCCCCAGTTAGGTTATTAAACAACTTCCTGAGAATGCAAGTCACTTGAATAAATTTAAATGCAGAAAGAATGCATAAAAAGAAATTTCTCATAAAAAAAGTAAATATTAAATAATGATATTTCGTGTATACTTATATCTTCATTAATTTATTGAGAAATAGCGGAGTTTCTAATAATCCCTAAAAGGGAGAAAAGTAAAAAAAAACGTTGATTGATTAATAGCACTTAAGGAAGATTTATTTTGGAAGCATTAAATGTATTACTAATTCTTTACACATACATACACATACACACATATGTGTTTTATTATCTTTCTTATTTTTTTTCTTTCAATAAATTGTCTATCGCTATTTTATTAACATGCATATATCTTGATCGATCAGAATAGACATCATATGTATGGCTTTTTATAGAAAATAAAAATCTCTCAGGGACTGTTAAAAATGCAATTTTCAAAAGGATAGTTTCTCAGTCGACAAGTCAAAACTCGATCGCTCTAAAAAAATCGCTGCTTCATTCGACGATTGTTCCTGATCGGACATCTCGCACACGGAAACACGTCCTTTTACGCCATCAGATCAGAACGCGGAGAGAATGCAGCGGTATAAAACGATGCGCTCATCAGTTCGCGCAATCATACGTCGAGCAGTGTCGGCAAGTAGTGGACCACGATTCATAACGACAGGTTCGTAATATGTTCGTGTCTGTTGTTTCGCGCAAGGAGATTCGTAGGCGGCAGTGGCGTGTCTTTTTGCGCGCGATGACGCATACGGATCGAAAATTCACGGCCGACTTTCGTGAAAATTCCGCGAGGAAGTCCTACGGAAGAAATATTTCATTTAACACACAGATCTAATTATAATTCTTATAACATTTCTCCCGTTATTACGTTCATTAATAGCTTTTAATTGCGCGTTTGTAGACTTACTGCATGAACGAATTCGGCAATTCAACCAAGAATCTTTAAAGGTTTGTTCGCGTCGCATGCCCTTAACATGCTCTAAAATGAATCTATTATATATAACATTTATTCACTCTAACACGCTCGTTGAAGTGAGTAGGAGCTATAGCAGGAGCACATTGGAGCATACTGGAGCATACGACGCGAACAAACTTTAAGTAAAGATTATTAACTCTCGTTTTATTATTTACATGTATAACAAGTATCTCTTTTATTTAATAATAAATTAATTTTTTATTTTTACTTTATAATAAATAATTATCATAAATAATTTGTGCATAA